GTTTACTCATCAATATCTATGTGTTTTTTATTTGGTGTTTGATGAAATAAGAATTTTAAAACATCACTGGTCATACTTTAATAAGTATTTTATGCACAGCTATAAACTAAGTTTTATATTCAGTCCATCTCACAAAGTCATAAGTATGTCTTTCTTTTCGAGTTCATCACAAATGACCACTATAAACTACTTTAAATATAATCTGGATCACACTTAGCAGCTTTCCATATCACTTTTGGGTTTCTTTAACTCTTAATAGGATTCACTTCAATACTGTTAATAACCATCATAGTATGAATATTTCTTGATACTGAAATAAATATAGATCAACATGTAAAGGCCATATAATCTTTATTTTAACAACATAAAATGAAAAGTTTGGATTCAATCACGCTCAACAACGTTTTTTAACCATAACTGTTTCACTAAGTCAATCCCAGTTACATTCCAGATGTCAAAAGTATTTTAACAGTTCCAGCATATAAAAGGGGAGTAGGCGGGACTGTTGAAATTCGACCAGCTTTTTTCGTTTTAGTAATTCAAATAATAATGCATAGAAATTTCATACAGATCGGATTATAACTTTTGTCATTCAAACATTCACAAAGCAAAAAGAGGGCCATAACTCTAGAAATAATTGACGGAAATTGCTGAAATTCAATAGACCTCCATCTCACAAATTTAAATGATGCATATAAATTTCATACATATCTGATGATAACTTTCATCAATCGAGCATTAACAAAGTTGAACAAAGTGAAACAAGGGCCATAACTCTAGAAGTAATTATTGTAAATTGGTGAAATATGGTTCATGGTTTCTGTTTACTAATGACGCATATCAATTTCACACAGATCGGCAGATAACTTTTGATGTAAGAGCATTCACAAGGTGCAACAATGTAGTCCCATCCTCTCATTCAAGATCTTTTGATCCTTTACATATTTAAGTTTCATCAGAATGGGACAACAATGGTAGCCCCCCTGGAGGGCCTACAAAATCCGTACATATTTCAAATTTTGCGTGAAAAGCAGGGGCTATAGCTCTAGAATGTAAGGTCTGATGCTACCAAAGTCGAACTCATCCAAGAACTTTTGATCCTTAACACACAGTTTAAGTTTCATCGTAAAAGGTCCACAAGCTTCATTCATATTTCACATTTTGTGTAAAAGGTAGGGGCAGATGGGCACAAAAACTGACCTCACCCAAGTACTAGTGATACTCGTTTTAAGTTTCATCTAAATTGGATAAAATTGTGACCTCTAGATGGTCCACAACCTGGGTGTTACATGCTTTTATTATACTATCTTTGTAAAGGGGACTGGCTATTTGACGGGGAAGTTTCATTCCGATTTTCAGGAAACAATTATGGTGTAATGGTGATATATTGAAACAGTTTTGAAAATAAGATACAAATTGTGACCTCTAGAGGGCCCATAAGCTAAAAACGTGATATTTCGTACAATCAGGGGGTCATAATCCAGAAAGTTACGGTCCAATACGTGCCAGTATCGAAAGGAACCCAGATCTTTGGGATATAAATATATATTTTAAGTTTCATCAAAATTGAATAAAAAATTCGAACCGCTGGATAGTTTACAACATGGGTATCGCAGTCAGATCTAAATATTAAAGCCACTGCAGATTTTGTCAAGGTCATTAGAGTATTCACAAAGTGAAACAAGGGCAATAACTCTAGACATAATATATGGAAATTATTGAAATTAAATAGGCTTCTCCATCTCACTAATGTAAAAAACATAATATCAATTTTATAACAATTGGATGATAACTTTTGGAGTTCACAAGAAATTGTGGATGTTGGACAGACGGATGGACGGACGGACGGACTGACAGACGGACAGGGCGACAGCAATATACATCCACATTTCCACGTGGGCATATCAAAACTATTAGTTCTAAAGGATCCACAAACTAAAATGTGATTGTTCGTGCAATCAGGGGCCATAATCCAGGAAGTGGGGGTCCTATATGCGCCAATATCAGACGGAACTGAGATCTTTCGGTAATAAACATACATTATAAGTTTGATCAAAATCGGCTAAAAATTGTGAACTCTTAGAGTTTCCACAGACTTGGTATTATTATGCATATATTTGTCAAGTTCAGCATCACAGGATTAAACCACCATAGATTGTGTTTTCATGGTAAGGGAGTTAGAAAAGAAATGAAATTTAACTTCATTGCTGAGTAATTTTATTAGCCAGAAATTGCCCAGAAACGTCTATATCCCAAAGAGCTTCTGGACCTTTGCCAAAGGACCTAGGACGTTAGCCCCCCCCACACCCCAATCAAGAATTGCTTGCGTCGACCCTGTAATAACTTTTGTTGTTAGAGCGTTCACAAGATTCAACAAAGTGAAACAAGGGCCATAAAATTGTTGTGGGCATATAAAAATCATTCTGATACAATATACTAACATTTGAAACGTCTCACTCTCTTTCTTTTCCTATATTTATATTTGACTCGATAATGTGACAATGTCTTCTCCACGACAGTAGCTTCTATCTTTACACTGTCACGACTGAAATAGAAATATTCATATCTTTTAGCACCAAAATTTAATCTTGATATATTGAGGCTTAATTTGACATAACATTTCATGTAATGATCGGTGTATATTGGTTACAAGAAACATAAATTTAGTGACTAGAGTATTGCGTTACTCACTGCTTTGCTAAATCAAACCCACAAAGGTGGTGCAGAGGAAGCAAAAATTTTTTTCAAGATGGTTGACATCAAAAACATTTTATCATAATAGAATTTCCTTTTTTTTTAAATATTTGCCCAAAAATGAAAGTTTCTTGAATATTGAAACAACAACGAGAGATAGTCTAGAATCAACAATAACCTACGTGGTCGTCAATAATCATTGTGATGGACGAAGAGTTATCGCAGAACCGTGTTGCGGATTTGAAAAAAAATACTTCTGACCTTAGAAACTCGTCACATATTAGATTTGACATAATTCTGAGGTAATAGCCGGCTTAATGAGTGAGAGAGAGAGAGAGAGAGATATGGGGTTTTACGTCCACTCCACACAAACATTTGGTTTAATTTTATTTCAATAATTCGCTTGCGCGTAGGGGTCTTTAGCAGTGAGAGGAAACCGGAGGACCCGGAGAAAACCCATGAGGTTGGACAGGCTACCCTACTCCTTGTCACGTACAACCTGGGATTCAAAACCACGCCAGCTGACTCAATGACAGGCTTTATGATACAGCGCGCACGAACCATTCGGCCATCCAACCCCCCCGCCGTCTTAATGATCCATTGTACTAAAATCATGTGAGCCATATATACCGTGAACAAGTTAATTGTGGGGAGATCAAATTAATATCCTATATCCCACAAAGAAATGAAATGAGATTTCATGTCCTGCACATAAAAAAACCATCATATTATATATGAAGAGCCCCGGGGAAGAACGATCTAAGTCACTTTTTCAACAAACCCCAGTTAATGGCACCATCTGGTAGCAAATTGTGTAAGCTTTCTGTGAAACAATCAATTTCAGGTAAAAACGATCAGAGTCACATCAAACCGAGGCCCTTCTGAAATGGCCTCCCAGACAAATACGTCCATCGTACCCTTTATTTGGCTGAAAAGTGGAAATCAGTTGTTGCACTGGTAATTATGATTCGTATTAAACATCATTTTGAAGTTGTAATTAAACCCATTCATTGTTCTGTTTGCGTCAAGCATTCTCGTCCAGAAGTTTGTTTTGCCTTTTATGCGAAAAGACAAAAATGTGACTTAGATCGATTGTTTCCCTGGACTCTTCATATAGATCAGTCCTTTACTATTTCAATACAATTCAGAAATTAAAACTATTAGAGCTACCTTAAAATAGGTCGACCAACCAAGGTATAATCTTTACCACCAACCATTAATACCTGAAGCAAAGAAAAATTATTTTTTACTGTAGCATGCAACCCATAGAGAATACTTACTGGAATATCCAATACATCATCAAATTTATCATCTTTAGATCATGTCAGCTTTTTGTACATGTTTTTGATTCTATTTTACCGTACTTAATTACAACATAAAAACTACATTTTAGTCCATATCTATCTATGGTAAAAACAATGAAACAATGTTTAAACATTTTACTCACTTTTTCTAATCGGATTTTATCACCAATGGTAGGATCAAACCACAGTTTTATCATAATAATATCTTCTGTTGTTATTTTATATTGTTTACCACAAACATGAACAACAGCAAATAATCTACTTTCTTTATTTTCTACAGCTGTGTTTATATTTTGAATAATTTCTCCTGAAATATTAATGAAACTGAATCTTACTTTTGAGCTCGAAATGAAAAAAAAAAAGCTTAATCTTTCCATTGACTGTTTGAGACTCGAACCATACATATCCATAATCTGGTTTTAACAGATTCTACCTTAAGCAGCTGATGGCCATTTACAGTTTTCAGAAATTATCTTATAATCAACACTAAAATTGATTATTTAACATGTAAGGCCGCGGTTAATTAATTGTCAGTTTCTCATGACCTGAGTTTGTGAAACATACATGCTACATGAGGTAATTATTAATTAATAATTATTGAGATAAAATTTAATTTTTTTAGTTTAATACTGTTTCTATTTCAGCAATAACTAATGTCAGTTACTTGGTAATTGAAAACCCAACGGTAACCAGTGTGGGCGTAATTATTACGGATGAAAACGGACATGCGGGTCGTGAGAAACAAATAATTAATTAACTGCGGCTTAATTAAGAAAATAAAATCAAAATATCAACAGTGGATAATATAGTGGCTTGGATTTAATCTGTTTAAAAAGATTATAGGTGGCACCTGCTTGTTGGACCATATCCGGTTTTATAGTCTGCAGATCAAATGTTGACAAATTTTCTGTTTATCATATCTTTGTGAATACTATATATTGAATGATAATTTCAGACATGCATCTTGTCATAAATATTGTAGTTTGCCAGCGATAATCATACCTTTATTTTGCTTCTTTATTACAGTATAATCTGATGTCGTATCCAAACTGTGAAAGAAAAGAAAATCAAATTCAAATCAAGCCAAAAGCTCACATATTTATATTCACTTGGACCGTTATCTTGCATTATTTTGAAAAGCTGTTAAAAGACTATTAATATAATGAAATGGGATACTTTATATTTCTTAAAGGTTATTCTAAGACTAACACCTGTTTCATTTTTACAGTAACGTATGTTATAAGAAAGGGAGAATAGCAGAGTTTCTGCCTACCTATCAGACACAAGTGAGAACCAGATTTCAAATTTTTTAAATTGTTCTTAGTCGAACCAAGGACATGCCACATTTATAATTTTTAAAGATAGGTTGCCAAGCAATGAAACATACACCCACAGCAGCTAAATCGTCTGAGCGGTCAACAAAGTTGTTGCATATTTAATCTTTTGTAGATAATAGGGGCATTTACAAGAAAATTTCATACAATCAGATTCTAATTTTCGTCCTTTGAGGATTCACAAGGTGCTATAACTCAAACAAAGGCCTTACCTCTGGAAGTAATGTGCAAAAAATTGTTGAAATTCAACAGCCTTTTACATTTTACTAATCTAAATAAGGCATATAAATTTCATATAGATCGGATGATGACTTGTCGTTCAAGCGTTCACATTATTGAACAAAGTAAAACATGGCCCAAACTCGAAAAGTGATTATTGGAAATTGCTGAAATTCAACAGTCTTCTTCGTTTCACTAATTTAAATGATGCATATAAATTTCATACAGATCGGATGATACCTTTCATCATTCGAACTTTCACAAGGTTCAACAAAGTTAAACAAGGGTGATAATTCTAGAAGAAATTAACGGAAATTGCTGAAATTCAATAGGCTTCTTCGTTTCAATAATTTAAATGATGCATACAAATTTCATACAGATCATGATAGCTTTTGTGTTCGAACGTTCACAAAGTGCAACAAAGTGAAACAATGGCCATTCCTCACGAAAAAAAATTAACGGAAATTGCTGAAATTCAATAGGATTCTTTTTTTTAATAATTCAAATGATGCATATAAATTTCATATAGATCAGATGATAATTTTTGTCATTCGAGTGTTCACAAGGTGTAACAAAGTGAATCAAGGGTCATAACTCTAGAAGAAATTTATGGAATATATTGAAGGTAAATAGGATTCTTCATCTCACTAATGTAAACAACAATAGGATTCTTCGTTTCAGTAATTCAAATAATTCAAATAAATGTCATACAAATTGGATGTTAACTTTTGCTGTTAAAGCGTTCACAGGGTTCTACAAAGTGAAACAAGGGCCTAACTCTAGACATAATTAACGGAAATTGTTGAAATTCAATAGGATTCTTGGTTTCACTAAATTAAACGATACATATAAATTTCATACAGATTGGATGATAATTTTTGTCACAAGGTGAAATAAAGTGAAAAAAGGGCATAACTCTATAAGAAATTAACGCAAATTATTGAAATCAAATAGGATTCTTCATCTCACTAATGTAAACAACATATATCAATTTCAAAACAATCTGATGATAAATATAGTCCGTAGAGTGTTAACAAGAAATTGTGGACGACAGATGGGGGTGACGACAATATACAACCACATTTCCATGTGGGCGTATAAAAACTATACCTTGATTCCGATGGCACTGGTGAGTTACTATTAGCTGTGCTTATGGAATATGATGACTCAATAAAAGTGTTCTGAGAAGCGATATGTTTTAATAACATTGATCTTGCACAGTATGTTGGCATAAATTGTTGTGTTATGCTCAAATGTCCAAATTGTCTAACCAAACCTGAAAAAGTAAATTTTTACCACAGAGAAAAATCAAATTCAAGTAGTTATAGTTTCTTTCAAATATTTATATTAATAACAAGGGCAGCTTAAGCAACCCATATCCCAAGATTTTTAAAATGTGCACTGTCCATCAACAGTTGATGTTACTCTTTGATATTCTGAGACATAATATCTGGACGGTTAAATTCAAAAAGTTCAATTATTTTCACTGCTAACCCAGCACATTAAACTTATATATATATCCAATCCACTTATTTCACACAAACTCTTTTTTTACTATCCATTTTACAAGATTTCGAAACAAATCTATCGCCAACAAGCAAACGCAAAGCATCTAACAGGAAATGACTTTGATTGGCTAAAGTTGAACTTCAGCGAATCACATTACGAGCAGGATTCCACACGAAACAAAGTTTTTTTTATTTACTTTCAATGTTAATTATAGTACATATCTAAGGTTTCCTAAAACATTTATATTTGGTTCTATATGTTCCAACAGACTCAGTCGAAAACACTGGAATATTACATAAAATTTAAAAATTATATTACATTTCAATTTTTAAGATGTCATATATAGGTCATCCTATTCCAATATTGTGTCGTTAGAGGTGTACTTAGCTGTAGGTAAATGTTATATTTTGGATAAACCTGTTTTACTGGACAGCTTTCATTGGTTTGTCAAACAGTGAGTTTTACTGTTATTCAATGATGGAATTTACCGACTGATGCTTTTAATTTCGTGAAAAAACCTGCTTGAGGCACAAAGAGATTACCCGTGAATGATATCTCTCTTTACCATGGAGTAAGCAACGGTAAGTCCTATTGTGAAAACGTAGTACCGATAATTCAGGGTTGGTGATAAGTGGTAAATGGTCATTTGGGTTACCAGGAGGTCGCCATGCTTAGAAAACGGGCGAACAACCCTTCGTTACCATGTAAATTGGCCTGTTTTTCGTATACGACAAGACAGACAGCGGGAGAGATTTCCCCAGCAAATATATGGTTATTCCTATCACGTGATACTCGATGGCGCAATTTTACTCCCTTGACAGTTGCACAGCCTTGATTTCATTCGTTTTAAAAATGGCATCCCCCACAATGAAGCCAGAAACTGCAAGACGTTGCATTGAAGGCGTTTGTTGTGGGACATCAATTATGACTTCTCTGACGAGTTGGACGATGACAATAAACTGACAAAATTGATTATGTAGTACGTACAACACTGAAATACGACATGAAGCAATGTGACAGGTCAAATTTTTGGCCCGTTACTTGCGTACATTGACAGGGTTAACTACATACGTGGGTGAAAGAATTGATTCATATTTTGTTTGTGTTACAAAGTTATGTTCAATATTATATAAATTTAAACAAATCAAAGAAAAGGCAAGGCAAGGGTCATCTTTCATACGATGCTATTATTGCTAACTAAAACCAAATATGTGACAATAGTGGAATACATTTTAATCCAGTATTGTTATCACCAAGTTCAGAGGGTCTATAGATTATAATTTACCATTAATGTTATCTTTTTTAGTACAATTTAGAGAAAATCTAGCAAGAAATCGTATTCCATGCCACACATTCGCCATTTTGTTGTCATGAGTGGTGTCCCTTAGTAGACGTTCCTTTCTTCCAGACGCGCCATAAGTAAGAGCCCAAATGGGCTTTTAAAATGCCTTTCGCGTTTATTTCAATTGTGTCGAGAAATAAACGTCAGCGATGCATTTTTGGCATGGTAATTGATTCACCTTCGAACAGTTTATAATGTAAGGTAGGCATATTCTCGGGAAATAATATCTGCGATAAAACCTTTTCGAAGTATAATAAATACCTCGGAGTAGGTGACCTAAAGGTCGTAACCTGATGTTGTGTTAAATTAGGTTGACTATTTGGTGCATTTTCCTGTGAAAGACATGGGCTATTGTGGCCCCTTTCATGGTGATTTCTTCTCTGCCGAGGATTCCGCGTAACTTTAAACTCTGTTTACTTGGTCCATGGTTGTAGACTTTTTATAGCCCAGTTGGAACAGAACAGTAGGACGTTAAACCCCCTTTTCATTTCATTTGTAGACTGGAAAACTGAAAACTGGCTTAGATGTTAACTGGGCGAAAGCTGATTAACATCTATAAGTATATGTAAGTCTGTATATGAGGGAGCCACTTTGGCTCAGTGAGTAAGACGTTCGTTTACTAACTTGGGGGTCCCGTGTTCGATCCTGTGTGGGCGGAGAAAGTTAATCATCCGGATTTTCTGGCGGGGTTCCCCCTTGGTGGTGTAGGACGGAGGCAAGGGTCAACGTATAGTCGTTCGACTGGGACAAAAATCCGAGGTCCCGTAGCTGCAGTTTATAGCCGTGATAATTCTTATCTACGGCTGCAATTGATACACTATTCGGATGTTCCTGAAGCAACGACTGCGAGTTTCACAACATCTGGCCGTTGCTTGTTTACTTCACAATTCCCAAACTTATAGCTATGTTATCTACAGACACGTGAGCAGTAGCGCCCAATCAGAGTTTGTGACATCGCGACCTCCACGGAAACCTTGACATTGAATGAACCTTGAACTTTGCAACTCGATTATCACAGGTAGACATTTTAGCTTGAAAGCGTGAGACTTGGTATTCGCGACGATCGAGGAATCTGATAGGGCTTGTACCCAATCGAAATTAGTGCCGCAATATGCAGGGTATTACGTGAAGGCCTTGATACGATGTACGTAGTTAAAGCGAGATCATGCCTTCTACTGAAGATGCACTATTCGAGGTGTTGAGCAAGTAAAATTAGGTTCAATTGCAAAATTTTCAACACACATCATCACAGTTTGCATGGAAATAAGTAATTATGTTACAAATAGTGAAGAGTGGACCGAACAGTTTTTCTGCATTTTCGAGTAACATGACATCACGTGATTCTGGTTCGGCGGGCATTATAAAACAAACAGAGATTTCGCATAGCAGTTGGATTTAATCAAATCATATAATTATACGGCAAGGTTTCACCTTTATTTCAATGGGAATTGGTTTGTTATATATTCAGCTATGTCCAGTACAGTTTGGGGTCAGTGTAATTGGAAATTAAGGGAGTTATAGGCCAGTAACTTTTTTGTTGTCAAATGACTACAAAACTTGCTCAAAGGAAGGCCTTAGGACGCCCACTACTGTGGCTGGAGCAAGACGGAACGTATTGGATTGTGCAGGTCAAAGAACCCTTGACAGTTGGAGCTCGAAATAAGACTCAAGAGTAGGACGTAGCATCACTGTCCGGGCAAATCTCCGTCATAGCTTGCTGCATGGCGTATAATAACCTCCAATAACCAATAAAAACATGTCTTATACTGGATAACTGGTGCATGCACTAATTCCTGACGATAATCTTTATAGTTTGTGCAGATGTGCAAGTCAGGTAGCCCCACCCGTAGGTTTTTTTTTCTCGAAAAACCACCTGGAAAACATGAAATGCATCCTAGAACTTTCATTCAACCTCAGGTGTAAGCACCGAGAAAGAGGAGACTGGCCACGTCATGCGGATCGAAATCATCGCCTCCTTTGGCAATCTGATTAAAACACAGGTCCTATTTCGTTTCCTTTTATATAGTTCAAAATTCCACTTTACTTGTCTTTACTACACTATGATCTGGAAGAGTTGTTGAAATGAAATGAAATGGAGTTTAACGTCCTACTGTTCTGCTCCTAACCTGGGCTAGTTGTTATATAACCCGCGTTCTGGTTGATGTGCGGCATTAGCCACTTAAACAGTCTGTTGCGGCGAGTTCTTGGTGTGCGGTACAAGGAACTGTGGGTAGAAATTCGTAGCGAAGACAAACATCAACGCTGATTGGTTAATCAAATGTCTGACGTCATTGAATCGCAAGCCGCTCGTATGACCCCTGACGCGACCTACCACTACAACCAGTCAGATCTTCGTGTAGTGAAGGCCATCGAAAGTATAAGAAAACGAAACAAAATATTCTGTATTTTAATCAGATTACCTCCTTTGGCTGCCTCTCAAAAGCACATATATTTAAAAGGTATACATTCAGGCGCTGTACCCAGTCAGTTTCGTCGATTTGCGTCATTTTTGGCCAAATTATTCATCGCCGGAACGAAAAGGCAACGCGGAAAATCACGCCTCACTGACGAATCAGCGGCCCCGGGTAGTTGTACGCCAGGGGAAGCGTTAGGGGTTCCTTCAACGTATCTATCAAACTTCCGAGCACGTTTCCCCATAGGTCTCCCAAAGTCGAACAAGCGCTTAGACACGGCATGACCTCAATTTCACAAATACCCTGGACGAAAATGCACAATTACACAATTAGTGACCGAGGCCCGTGAGCCCAATACGGCGTCCTAACCCGTTCCCTGCACATGGGTAACCATCTCCCCAATCTGATTAAAATACAGATCTATCATTTCGTTTTTTTATACTTTCGTTGGCCTACACTACACGAAGATCTGACCGGTTGTAGTGGAAGTTCGCGTCAGGGGTCGTACGAGCGGCTTTTGACCCTATGACGTCTCACATTGATAAATCAATCAGCGTTGACGTTTCTAGTGGTTTACCCACAGTTCCGTACATCGTACGCCAAGAACTAGCCGTACCAGACCGTTTCATTGACTAATATCCCTCACCAGAACGCGGGTTATATAATTAACAACTCCCCCAGACCCTAGTGTTTTGAAAACAAGTAAAACGAAATTTTTAACTATAAAAAAACGAAACGAAATAGGATCTGGGTTTTAACCAGATTGCCTTCCCCCAGGGAGTCAGCTGATAAGACTGAACATAGCAAGCAGGCCTTGAGTATCTGGCAAGCGATCACGGAGGATTGTGACCATGAGGGCGATAAGAGATATCTGGTTAATATCCATGTTCGGACGCCCAAAGAGATGGATAACAGCTACGATTTGCGTTTGACCAAGATCTCCCGTCGAGGTAGATCTGTAAGCAGGCGGTTTAGTGAGCGCAGACACATAATAGAACGGAGTGAAAGCATGTTTGCTGCTACCGATGTCGTGGGGGACCTGCTATAGGCGAATTGACACCGACTCCATGCTTCAGATAGACGCCACGTTCCGTGCCGCACTGGTACGTCTCTAGTCTAAGGTCAGATCTTAATAAACATGGTCAACCCAGCCTTGTTGTGTGTATAAGATGGCGATAGGCGACATGGATATGATCAGTGTGGTTCCAATTCTACAAGGAAAGCAGACGGTATTTTCAATTCATGCGCCACATGTCACATGTCTGGCACAGTTCCACCCTGTCGTACACGCTTTCTGAGATGAGTGACCAGTAAAGATACGGTCAAGCCACGGGTTGTGAGCTCAACATTCGAGAAGCACCTCTTCTGTCGATCTGGGCAAATCAAAGGCGGTACTGCCATCTCCAACTTCAAATGCGGCAGTCTGCCGAGTTCAACACTGCCTTCAGACTAGTGTTAACGGTGGGCGGATGGAAGGTTACCCCACTGAAATCGATTTAGCATGCAAATCTGCAAAACATTTTAAAAACTCGATTTAGCATGCAAATTTGCAAAACATTTTAGAAATTCGATTTTTTTTTTCAAATACTTATTTTATTGTAAAAATATAATCTCACTTTAATACAACAAAGCTAATAATATCATAAAAGCAGGCAAAGTGTAATATAGCTCATAAGAATATTATATTACAATGGGGTGGGGTTTTTTTCTCCAAATATTCATAATAATTATCAATGAAGCATATATACACTGTTGCCAATGCCATAACAACGGATTTTTATCTTGACATAAATTCACTTTATTTGCTATATTGTTTTCGTGTTTCGACAACTGTTTTTGTAAAGTAAAATGGTTACTTTATCCTTCCCTGAAGGCTTATTGACTAGTTAAGTGACCTTCTGACAATGAACATGAATTAATACATCCAAAACTATAAGTACTATAGCATGTTTTATTACTGACTGGGGGTCAAATTTAGTGCAAACACTTGTTCAACAATCACACAAACACGCATAGCTAAACAATATTTAGGGCTAGACAATTTATATGCAAAAAAATTGCTGCATGCGACCGTTTTAATATCAGTTAGATTGTTTTAGAGGCAGAAAATCGGCATACTGTACAGTTATTAAACCTGTGAACAATGCTGCTTGTTTTAAAGCATAAATGTTTAAGTATAAAAAGAATGAAACAATTACGCAAACACATCTAGTAACAGTTCATTTAAAATGAAGGTGATATAGCAACTTTATTAGATATTTTGATAGATCTACCATCAAATTACCTACATGATAAAAAAAATGTTAATCATAATGCATGATAAAAGATGACAACCACTATACTTGCAGATAAATATTATCTAACGATAATTAACTAAACTTTATCCCGTTATAATTATTTTATTTTTAAAAAAAAACAACAACGCTGAAAACACTGAAATACGTCAACAAATTATCTTTGGTACTTCTTTGCAATCAATTGTATACATCCACTTTACTCACAACATTCTTAATCTTCACGAGACAAGGTCCAAAAACGAGACCTCTTATATGATAATGCAAGCACTATGATAAATATTAATAATTATAACACCGATGACAAAGTTCACTAGAATTGTTTATTCTCGGTGATATATCACAGATCAATACTGACGAATCAGATCCCTGAGTAAAGCTCCTTTTACACTGGAGCGGTGAGTTTCTTATCTCGTTCTCCCCCGTCACATCTCTTTTCCCAGTTTAATTTCAAAAGTTCGTTTGAAAATTAAACTTCAGTTATGTTTTGTTTTGGACACAGCCGAACCGTTCACTCACACCTTACTTAGTATAAAGAATATAGGTTTTTATACATAAAGAACATTCACTTCTGACCATAACGAGTTGGGTTTCTCAGGGATCTCGGCACTTCTATGTTTTTAGTACTTTCCGTTTCCCATACCTTTAAACACACTGAATTAGCTGAAAGATAAAATACAATAATTGTTTTAAAGCACAAGCATTTTGGGACACAAATACGATTATATGTATCTGTTTTGGACCAAGATCTGACAGTTTTCATTAGCCCCATTGAATTTATCTACCTCTATATTGCCCGGGCGACATCTATCAGAAAATAGTGTCGCACACCGGGAAATTCGAAGATTCGGACTATAGAATCATGTACCATTGCATCCCAACCATTGACTCCAAGGGCACCACGCCAGTCTATTTTCCTGAAGATCATGACGAAACTCCACAATGAAAAGATCATAAACAAAATAATTTAAGGTTACCTGAATTTTTAACAACAGTGAAGACAGTTGAAACTATTGCCGCTATACAGAACAAAATACAAGCATAAACTATGCACATGACTAATGCTATTAGTCCTTTAACTGCAAAGGTATCTTTTGCGTCTTGATTGGAGTCTTGGTATCTTCTGCTTACGGTCTGCATTGTTGGTGATGAATGAGAGTCCAGTTGGTTTCCTTGAAACAATTGTTGATTCTTAACAAAATGGGACGAACTGTTTTCCCTGCAATTAAATGAAAAACATTTATATATAAAAGCATTACGAAGGAAATTCTGTACCTTATAATGAATTTTAATACATTATAAATCTATGGGATTAATGTGTAATAATCTCTTAATCCACGAGAAGAATAAAGTTTTCTTATCTCCCTACCATAGTCAAAACAATAATTGTGGATGAACTTGAACTACGAACCTAGGAGAGAAATAATAATAGATCGATATACCTCGATCTCAGCTGTTGAATTGAAAACTGTAAATTTTCTGGATAAAGACTACTGTAACTATTCCTACCTATCGTGTTGACAGTTCATTATAATATGACTACCGAGACAAGTTGTCATTCTTGATATTTAATCTCAGAAACCTTGGCCTTGTCCTAAAAGCTACATAAGGTTATGGTAATATCTTCTCCGGTGGATCAGTTTGCTCTACACTGCACTAGCTATAAACATGCATGAAAGCGTGTACGAAGCTGATCACGTGGGGCAGTTGAGGCCATAATCATGTACTATACATGTGACCTTGGCATTGCTATTTGACATGACATGAATGAGTGACAACAGCAGTGAAACCGGTAATAGAAACATTCTCGTGAACCAAATGTATGTTCGGGCTTTCAGTAAACAGAGAACGACTAAGTCTGGCAGCCAGCTGCCTAACAACAATGCTTATTTTCGATTAGGGTAGCAAGGATGGGTGTATGTATACATGTAACGTTCTGAGTGAAGGTTACTATATGTATGGACAAGTTTCTGGTTGAACTCGACATGCTAACCACGTGGATCAAATCCAATCCTCATAAATCTTCCGTTTATTCAAAACAACCATGATTTAATGACCGTACATATGGCAAATGAAAAATGACGTAAAACAATAATTGACGAAATAATAAGCTATTTATTACCGTCTTTAAGCTTGCAAATGGCTTTACTTTTATAAATGAATGAATAAATAAATGAACGGGTTTCACTGATAAATTATGCACGTTCAATTTCTTTTTAATATAAGGATAAGATAAAACTTTAATTTCTTTTCTTTTTTTGTCCATAAAAAAACAGATAGAGGTGATTATCTTTTATCCTATTTGCATTTCTAGTGCAATAATATCAATCTATTTTATGGAAATTCAAGTCTTGTGAAAATGAGATTTTAGTGAGAAATCAGGTTGTATGTTTTCAAATTTCGAGTTGAGTGAGAAGATCATCATTATTCATCTTCAAATAAATCTGGGCCGGTGGGTTTCAGATAAGTAGAACGTTAAACCTCATTTCTTTTGTTTAATTACTGAAAATTGATATTTAAGAAAATTGATTTTGGAAATTTAACAAGGTTCAAGGCTTAAAACACCACTATTCATGTTATGTATCAACGTCAATAGTAACATATTTAAACTTGGCAACTTAATCCTAAAAGATTAGTTTAAAGACCGCCCTATTGTTATAACCAAAGTAAAAAAAATCGTTTGAAATATTTTACATGGTTCAAAGGTCATTTAATAGAAAGATAAAGATCATATTCTGTCTATTTGAAAGAAACCTAACAATCCTAGTAATTGTGTGGGATAAGCCGACTTAGTGCGCCTTATTAACCGATTACAATCTAAATACAAAAATAACAAGTTCTTACCCAAATACATAGAACTGGTCATACAATAATATAAACTTTACACATAGACTATATTTAGTATTTGGCAATAATAAAATTCAGCGATTAAGGCATAATTAGAATTGTGTATCATAACCAAGGAATAATGCCTCTGTTTTATTCCAAATATCGCTAAAGGTTAAGTAAATCTTTATTGAGATCTATGTATTGATATGGCATTCCAAAAGTCCATTTTCATGACTTGTATCATTTTATTTTTATTTGCGGAAATTCCCAATATTAAATTTCAGATCTCTTAAACAATGGCCAACGTTCATTTTCACTAAGTATCATTTTTATTTTTATTCGCGACATTTCCCAATATTCATCATTTCAAAATATTAATTCATAAACGATGGTCAAAGTCCGTTATCACTACGTATCATTTTATTTTTATTCGCGACAATCCCAATAATATGTTCATTTAAAAACAGAATTTCATAAACAATGGGTCAAAGTCCATTATCACTACGTATCATTTTATTTTTACTCGCGGTAATTCACACCTTCAACACTCCTCACGATTTGTTTATCGCACTAAACATGCTAAACAACTTCCGAGGGAATGTTGCCCTTTGGACTCTGATATTAGTATATTATACTTCATTTTACATATTTATTGATCAACATTAAGCCGAAACGCCATGTGGTGAGTGATTAGGGTACTTTACGCATATTACCTGTATATGAAACTGGTAGAGGTCGAAGTCCAACTTTAATCTGTCCCGTTATACTCACTGGCGATCCCATGGAAATGTCATTATTAATCCCCCTATCCCTGCTCACCAAGGCTAGTTACAGGTAATATGTAAACTGACCCAATAATTAGGCCAAATACACCGGGCTGTTGGAAAATGCTGATAAGACAAAATTTATATAGCTGTATAATTTTGTTTGAATAGATCTGTGTGATGTAACACCGATAGTATTTACGTCACGGGGCAGTTCATTAACCTTGTAAAACACGAAGGTTAGTCGGTATTAGAACCAGTTGAAATTAACCGTAGTAGACTATTGGAACCAGCTGAAACTAGTAGAAAGATCATCAAAGACGAATGAATTTGATGGTTTAGCCGTGGTATGAGCAAATGGTATCAATGCAATTAGTATGATTTGATTTGATTTGATTTAAGAAAATTAGATGTCAAGATTAAAACATGAAATGAAATGAAATGAGGTTTGACACCCTGCTGTTCTGATCGGACTGGGCTAATGAAGACAGGCATACGCCATCGTGTGCTATGATGAAAATTTTGCCCGGGCAACGGTACTATGGCCTACTCTTATATCGAATCGCCAATGTATATACGGACCCTCGTCCCATCTGAATGACTAAGACAGCTGCCCTTGTCAGGCACCACTGACAAGAGGAAACCACAGCAGAAAATCCGGATGAACTTTCTCGGCCAATGCAGGGATCGAAGCGGGTGAAATTTTTGCATAGTCTCGATCATCATTACTAAAATCATTAATATAAACAGCATAGTCTCGATTATCCACTTTTTAAAATTTAATTATCAATGGCCGTTAGCGGCATATAGGAATCTAATCCAGCCAACATCGAAGACTAGCCTTGACATCGAGAGTTTATTATGGTCTGGATAAGTTAATTAATGTCTAATTGATAATTTAGATAACATTTCAGGCCTAAAGAAAGACTTGTAATAAGCAGATTTTGCTCTTGCATAATGCATGTTTAAGTAAAAATTCGAACTGTTGACATTCGTCTGTTCAATGTAGTTTATTTTGAATTTCAACTGTCAGGGGTAGTTTTACGTGCACGGCAATATGTACACAGGGCCTCCGTTTTTCATCCCATCCGAACGACTATATGTTGTAACTTGCCAGGCCCTCCGTCCTGCACAAATTTTAATGACAAGGGGAGCCACGTCGGAAAACCAGATGAACTTCACGGTCAACACCGAGATCGAACACAGGACCTCCAGGTTAGCGAGCCAACGTCTTACTCACTGATCCACCGTGGCTCCCAGTGTGATCAATAGTTGGCCTATAATTTAAAGTGAACGCTGTTCTATGGTCTACGGGTAATGGAGGTTTTCGATTCCTTAAAATGTACAATTATCACCATTATCCAGTAACTATGGAGATAGCCGCGTATGTGTCAATTGGACATTGCAAATTATCAAGCTGCGAATTAATTAGAGCGTACTGGAAAGAGCATACGTAATTTCCACCTTTTCCAAATTTATTTTAACGGGTTTTTTTAACGGCAATGGCTAACAAATCTTGACTGGCCAACCTTCTATTATTGGCTTACACTGAGGCATGTTTCCAAATATTTACAAAACAGTCCTCGACATTTCAAAGGGCGCTGATAGAGAAAGTAAATATTTTGAACTGGACATAAATGAAGAAATACGATAAGATACGTAAAGATATGGTAAATACACTATCATCTTCAGACTTGTTAAACAGTATCAAATTTCAATGAATTTTACAACGTGATTACAGGCCTCGGAATCTTTTAATTCACAAAACAATTTTTCAGTTCATATTTGTTTTTAAACAGATTTTTTTTTAAAAAAATGTTTATCAAAGGCCCATAGTGCGCTAATCCTACTTCATGTGTTTGAAAGATGGGTTCCAAGAAAATATATTATATATTGTCAAAAGTTCAAACAAAGCAAATATATGCACGGATGCTCTGACACTCAGACTCGGCACACAGGCATACGTTTTGACTTCAAAAGGTGTTGGCATTTGTTTGCCGTCACGTGGGGCTAGTCATCCAAAACAAATTAATTTATTTGTTTCGCACACGTCAATTATAAGCTTGACCGGTGGGTATTTTCCATTCATCCATTTCGCAGTCACGTGATTTTAAGCAGGTCCAAAATAAGATGGCCCTACAAACATACAATATGGACGTTTAAATGAATGGACGGGCAGGATGCTAGAATATATACCCCATGCGGATAAAATTAATTCGATGATGTAATATAGGTGACATCGGGAGCAGTAATGAGCATAATACAATAACCATTGAAAATATATACAAGATGTTACTTCTACTCAACAATAGCAATAAAGCCGGTTTTAAGAAAATACTCGACATTGAGCAGCTGACACAGATTAATGTAGGGGGAATCAAAAATGTATTGTTTTCTACAATTGGTATTTTACCATATATGACAGGTTGTTAGATTTTGATTTCCGAATCATTAAAAAATCATCTATCAAAAAATGCAAGTAATACGAAGACTGAGCAAACCAATAATTATTTATTCGCAATTATTCATCGCCGATGAAATTTAGTTTTGGCAATTATTAGCTTGTAATTACCGAAACGGTCTTTTTAAGGCGAAATTCTGAAGATGTGGGTTGTCATTCAATTAATATTAAAGATAAAGACAAAAATAGTTATTTTGATCGTACTCTTCATTTGTTGTAAAACAAATTAGTTCTAAAACACGTTTTCAATTGTGGTGAAAACCATTTAATTAAGAAAATATTCCGGTCTAATATTTTGTTATAAATCTTCTTCACACATAGCCTACATACAATAACTTCATACTATATTAATTCAGAGAAAAAAATGATTATAATTAATAATTTTAAAAAAAAAACACACAACAAAACATGTTAATTTATCCTCATATATAATAATAATCCGTTTACATACGTACCGTTATAATCCGGTATAATCGGTATTGTATACGATGACAGTCTTGAGCAGCTCAGATGGATGATCTTCAATAACAACTTGGATCGGTCTGGAGAAAATCTTCTTCCAGCACTCTTTTATATCACCCTGTTCTCTCATGCAAGGTCCGTGTTTTTCTTTACTTACTATCGTGTGCCCTATAAA